TAGAGGAAAAATCCTCTGCCCCCGTCGGGGATCGAACCCCGGTCGTCCAGCCCGTAGCTAGTCACTATACTGACTGAGCTATCCCGGCTCATAATATCCAGGAGTAAGGTCCGCTATAAAAAGAAAAATATTGCAGGGAATAATTAGGTTACGCAGTGCAGATGAGAGCTTAAATAAAGACGTTTGAAGGATTGTTAACAAATAAAACACAGGGTTTTTAGTGAAACGTATCCTGTGAAAGGAAGAGAAAAGGATAAATACGCGTGACCTTTGAGGTTCTCACGCCGGAAAAGATGCCGACTGTGGTCTCGGTTGTAACGCCGTGTCGAATTTGGAGGAACATTCTGCCTCGATTTGCTGCCTGAAAGCTAACATCGACAAATTTATAATCTTCTTCAATGCAATAAAGAAACAAAAGGGAATCAGAAGAAGAATTAAGATCGCCGTTGAATTTCAACGGGGCTTTTATATTAGTTCAACTCATAAATATTCATCCCGGGTGACCGGCGCGAGTAGTTGAGGTTTCATGTCGTGCATGATCTCTTCATACTACAGGCTGTTTTTACAGATAATTGAGGTTAAATACGACAGACAACTTAACGAGTCTACGAAATCTGTAGTGCTTATTTTCTTTCTTACAGGTTTAATACTGCAAAATGCACGGGGCTAAGGAAACAAAACTGAGAACACTGCAGGTTTACAGTTTCCACACGGCGTTCTTTGCATCTGGGGACTCTGAATACGTCCAGGTGCTCGCTCGAGAGGCTTTCACGAAGATGTTGACGTCTAATTCACGAATTAGAATTGGATCGCTCTGCAGTCAAACGTAAGTATTATACTTTCCACCATCACTGCTACTAAAACATTATTGTGGCCTCTGAATGTTAATTGCGTGTTTATTATGCGCTTTTTCATTTGTTTGTCAGAATCAGACATTAAGAGGACAGCTTAGTTTGTTATAAATAATTCAATACACGCAGCATACCGTATGTGGGATTCCCTTCAGATGCAAACTTTAGAGAAAATATTCATATTACAAAATATTTGTGGTCTTTCTGTAATCGATCCCTCGCTACACGCGCGCCAATACAGGCGTGTCGTTTTCATGCCTGAGGTTAGGTTAGGTTAGGTTAGTTTAGGTTAGGTTAGTTTAGGTTAGGTTAGTTTAGGTTAGGTTAGGTTAGGTTAGGCAGCTGATCTGAAGTGGGCGTAGGTAAAGTGTTTGGTTCTTCGGACAAGTCCTTGGCAGGAGGACACTTCCTTCATTCCAGGGGCCACTCTCGAAGCGAGCCCATGCTAGCATAGCAATGGACGGACAAATAGTAATTTCGAAGAGAAAGGACTGAGGTTTTAATTGAGTAAATACTGCTGAATGCTTTGATGCTCATTCTGGTGGGACTACGGAGACTGAGACTCTTTTTTTTTTTCCACTGAAACGTATTAATCCGATTCACACAGTTTATCAAACTCCAGGAGTTTCGAGTGATCTGCCTACGTCAATCGACACGTGATGCACACGTAATTACACATTAACAGAGTAGAACAATTAAGTCAGACTCTGACGTTATTAAGCGATTATCAATGTCAGTATCTCCCTTTCAGGACTCAAAATATTTGAAGAGCCAAATATGATTCGTCGGCTGAAGTGAAGTTATCGCTTGTCCTCCAGTCTTTTCGAAAACGTCTGTAATTATAAATTTGCGTGGCTCGTTGCCCTTCGCAGGCAGAGAACATTTTTCCATCCCATCGTCAGGAGAGAGTTGCTTCTGATCGAACAATAGTTTTTTCTTCTCTGAACTCTTGACTTCATCTTTGCCCTTTTCCGCCTACGATGTTCCTGCTGTCAATCTCCCAGTCAAGAATTTCATCCAGCTTCCTACCATAATGCGAGTCTTTGTAAAATGTTGTCTCAGTTTTTTTTTGCATTTGTAGGCTGACTGTATAGCCACGGTGGTCTAGCGGTTAGAACGCTGGCCTTGTAATCCTGGGGTCTCGGGTTCGATTCCCGGCGGTGCCCGAATTTATAACTTGTGTTGGGCAAGGCCGTGGTCTAGGCAACACGGAGTTTTCCTCCATGGCATCCCAACAATTACTCCATTCACACACACAGAAGAAGGCAATGGCAAACCACGTCTGGATCATCTGCCAAGAACGTACATGAACAGGTCCCAGTCCGAGAAAAAGATGGAAGGATCCTGTTCATATGGACCTATCGTCAGATAGAACACTAAATAAATAAATAAATAAATAAATAGGCTGACTGTCCAAGGAAAGAAGATTAAATGTGACGACACGTTTTTTCGAAAGCATTCATATTCCGTCCGAAATTATACTTGAGGACTGTGGTATGGTTACACGTCTTTCAATTGAAACGTGGTAAATCCTGTGTCATCAATATTTTATTTGCGTTATACGAGAAAAAGCGCAATTTTTCACAGTTAAATGAGACGCCGGTGTGGGTCATGAGCAAACGGAGCACTGCAAAGAATGCAGACCGTTGGCATTCTTTCGATTGTCACATTGAAGAAATTCCTGTGAACATTTTCTCTAAACCGGTATTCATTTATCTGTTGTCAGCTTGCGCAAACACGTTTATCGGTCTTACATAATAAAAATTACGATTTCTCAATGTTGGCGTAATCTTGCTACGTGCGGCTGCTAGAAATTCAGCAGCCAAAGTCTCGACATTTAAACGTGGTAATATTGCGGAAGCAGAGGAGGGCGTGCCCACTGCAGGCCATTAGGGAACCCTGGATGACGACTTCTGACGCCATTTCCGCACTTAGCAATTCATTTACTTTCGTTATTATCGCGCGTTCTTTGCATGAAGTGCATAGGGAGAACGCGTAATGGGCCGATCGTGTCCGTCCGTGTATTGCCCATTCGATCCTGCTCTGGACGGATTGACACTAAATCCGATGTGGAGGTTGTTACGTCATCCGCACGACGTAAAGATCTTATACTTCTGAATATTCTGCGAGCGGTGATTAAAAAACGACGGACGAGGATATTCGTAAGGTGGACTTTGGGGTGCTGTGATCTAGTGGCCGAAGTTGGATCTAAAGAAGCAAGAATTCCTTCCGTCTGGGGGGGGGGGGGGGGGGGGAATTGTGCAGAGTAAGCAAATTGTTTCCTTTATGGGTCACTGTTGCCCTCCTGAGACAAGGTACTCGAGGGAAAATCGAATCTAATCAGAATGCACGCTCGACATCTGTTTTCAGAGAAGTTTACAGAATTTTACAACAAGAAATATTCACTGTTTTAAAAAGAACACTAGCCTTGTAAGCCTGGGGTCCCGGGTTCAATTCCCGGTGGTGCTCAAATTTATAACTTGTGTTGGGCAAGGCCGTGGTCTAGGCATCACGGAGTTTTCCTCCGGGGGCTTCCCCGGTTTCTCCGTGGCATCCCAACAATTACTCCACTCACACACAGAAGAAGGCAATGGCAAACCACTGCTGGATCATCTGCCAAGAACGTATATGAACAGGTCCAAGTCCGAGAAAAGGATGGAAGGATCCTGGTCATATGGACCTGTCGTCAGACAGAACACTAAAATAAAAAAATAATATTATCTGCAGTAATTAGTTACAATGATATTCGTTTCTTCTGTACGCACTCAACAAACTTCTGCTCGTCCGAAGAACGAGCTGACAGTGGTAATCTTTTAATGATGACGTTTAACTTGAGAAATGTTAAGATAAATTATCGCAGACTGTAAGTGGTGTTCGTGCTTTGTAAACAACAGATGTTGTTATTCCTACCGGCGCCAGTGTAAGTAAGCGTTTTGAAGAAGGATCTTTTGAACAAGTGTGAAAGCATCGTCCTCTTAAATCAATGTCCACTTTGTTTAAGAAATGACCTTCACCTTTATCTCAGCGAATAGTAATTTAAGGGAGACTGGAAAACGCGGGCAGATGCTATTACAATAGTTGTATTCCGAGAATAAATATGGCTTCTCCGTTTACATGTTCTGTTAGAACTCTGGCGTCCATTATTTTCATTCTTAAGTGCTTAACGCGAAGTCTTTCCCTCTCACGGAATTTTAGGGGCTAGTCGCGAAGATAAAATTTTTTAAGTCAGCAGTTGATTTGCCATCTTCAATTCATTTATCTTAAAGAAATAATCAACCACGGTGTACAATTACAGCAGAAATTAATAATAAACTGACTTTAATGCCTCTGGGGTGGATTACGTGTCTTACAAACTGTTGATGTGAAACTTCAACTGTGCTGCTCTGTGGTTTGGTTCTGCTGATTCTGAAATTATGAAAGAGTTCGGGTGTTATGTTACTGACGAGAACGATCAAGGAAGCAGGGAAAAACATTCTTTGAGAGAAGGAGGAATTTTGTTTTAGACTTCTGAAAAGTGAAAGGTGTTCAGAACTGTCTCTAACACGCTTAAATGCAGTAATTTCTTCTGTAATATGGCAGATCTACATCTTCCTTTGAAACTCTGGTAATTAACAGCAACAAAGATTCTTGTCGAGGCAGAAATCTCAAAAATTGTGGGTTCGTCGTCTTGCAAGCGATCCCTTACGGTCACGCGTACTCAGTCGCCGGTCAGTCCAGTGGGTGTCATGGCAACTGGTCGCTTGACTTCGTTCCCAAAGATGAAAATTCAGCTAAAGGGAAG